AAAAAAAATAAATGAATTTGTAGAACGAACGAACGAACATAAACTCACTTTTTTGCCACGTTTACCAATATCACCTTTGGCACCTGTTTGTCCGGGTGGACCTATTGGGCCTCTGCTACCCGAATCGCCCTGAATTCTCTTACTTCATACTATACCTAATTTGGTGAGTTTATCACAGCATACGATTAATTGGAATTTTTGGGAAGGGGAAAAAAAAAACCAATAAATTTTAAAATTGCAAAAAAATTTTTTTTAAGGTTAATTTCACATTTTCACATAACAAACAATCGGGAAATTTCACATAAATGGATTGCAACAAATTTTGATTTCATTCATTCAATGCAATTTTGGGAATGAAAGAGAAACAAGGAAGGAGGAAAAAAAAAAAACGCGTAAAGAAACCTTTTCGCCTTTTTCACCCTTTCGTCCGTCACGTCCCGGTGGACCCGGTGGTCCAGCAATAACTTGTGTTGTCCGTGCTGATGTTGCCGTAACAACACCAGGAGGACCAGGTAATCCTTGCATACCAATTTCTCCCTTTTCACCTCTCTCACCTTTCTCTCCCTGCAAATGATTGCTTTTTGTGGCATATTTTAATTTGAATTTAATTTTCAAATCGATTTTTATTATTTTTTATATTCTGCAAATTAATTAGTTATTAAAAACGAAGTAGAATTTGTTCTTTTTCTTTTTAAAATTAATTTTTCTCAAGGTAATATTTTCAATTAATCAATTGTTGTGGTCATTTACGCATCCTTCGTCATAGGTATACAAATTAGTACACATTTATTAAATATTCAAAATTGTTTGCAATTTTGAAAAGTTTGAATTGAAATTAAAATTTTTCAAATTTTTTGAAAAAAAACAAACCATATACTTTCAAATTTTTGCACAAAGTCTGAAACGCAATAAAACGAGTAAAATTCATTGCATGCAAATGAATTACCGGTATTCCTCGTTGACCTGGATTGCCGGTTCTTCCTATTTTTCCTTCAACACCATCTTTGCCAGGAAATCCTGAATCACCTTTAGCTCCCGGAGCACCTGGTGATCCAGGTATACCTGGTGGACCTCGTATTCCAGGTGCTCCTGGTTTACCCGGCGGACCGATTATTGGTTCTGAATTTTTCTCTACATACTTTGGCGTAAGGCCTGGTGATCCACGTTGTCCTGGCGGTCCAGGCTCTCCCTAATTGTTTATGCAGTGTATTTACAGTATTACGATACAACGAATACATGCAACTATAAAATTATCATTCTTTACTAAAATTCAACTATTTTAAGCCACAACACATAATTTAAGAGAATAAAACTGGAAAAAAAGGTGCAAATCTGAAATCCTCCGTCTTTAAATTTCGAAAAGAAAAAGGAATACCTTTGATCCAGGTGGTCCAGGTGGTCCTACGGGTCCAGGCTTACCCTGAATACCAGGTACGCCAGGTTCACCCTTTACACCAACTCGTGATTCACCGTCAAAACCGGGTAATCCTCTCTCGCCTTTTGGACCTGATGGACCTGGTTTTCCAACATCACCAGGTGGACCAGGATTGCCCGGTGGACCAGGTGGACCCTATTTAAAATTATTGATTGACTAGACAATCACTAAAAATTAGTAATTAATCGTAATTAATTTCAGTACTGCTTCGTAACTATGTAAAAATTAAAGACTATGTTCACCAACTTTATGATATAATTCACCAACTTTATTAACAACACTATTATTAATATTATCATCACTGTGGTTAGCATTATCATTAGTGTGATTTGATTTTGACATTAACATAAGCAATTTTTTAAACTATGTGAATTTCAGAAATTTACCTGGATAAGCACTGGTGTTACGGAATCGGCATTTCCAACCTATAAAAGCTAAAATTTTAAAATCTAATTTTGAAACCATTCGAATAAAAAAAAAAAGGAAAATGAATTCACTTTTTTCCATTACGATAACAATTGTTATAAGCAAAATTGAATGAGATGAAAGTAATCAATCATCAGATTTGAGTGATAAATTTGATAATTTACATTACAGTATTCTCTCTTTTTTTTTTTGTGGTATTTTTCCAATCAATTATATATTAAATAAAATGCATTAATGTATGATTAAAATAATACCTGTATTTTGCTAAGAGCAGCAGAATAACCACGTTCACCTTTAGGACCAGGATATCCTGGTGGTCCCATTGGACCACGTTCACCTCGTTCACCTTTTGGTCCTGGCATACCCTAAAATATTTTCCATTTGATTTTACCTTAAACTTTCAGGTTGATTATTGATTAAATGAAAAAAAAAAAAAAGAAAAGACAAATTTTCGTCAACAATCAATGTTTATATTCCCCATTTATTGATCGATGATAAAATTAGGTATCATCAATTTGCATGAAGAGCTCTCATACTATAGATGGTATCCCACAGAGAAATGTCCTGGTAATTTGATGGATTTCCCATTTTTGTTTTTTTTTTTTTTGTCATAGTACCAACGATTATTACGCAATACATTTGATGACATTTATAGATTTGTTACTTCCCGGATAAATTATATTAATTAATTGACATAATGATTAATTGGTATTGATCAGTTGGAAACATTAATGAGCTAAATGATATAGCAATAAATTTATTTTCATTTTATTCATTCAATTTCTATCTTAATTACAGTTTATTGATTTTATTTTAATTAACATTTATTCATAAATTCAATTTAGCTTAGCTTATTTTAATCCAGTAATTTCAAATCGATAATTCACATATGCTAAAATATGATCGACGAAATGGTGAATGGAATACAAAAGGGAGTTATTTTTAATAATGTTTGATAAGTTAATATATTGAAAGCTTTGATTAGAATTTATTTTTAAATTAACAAAATTTATTATTTCTAAACCTTATGGTACTTGCTACAAACAGACCAAAAAATCTAATTAATCATTGGTCAAGAAAAGTTTTTAATCTAATTTTATACCATAATATTTATAAAATACTTGCATAACCTACCGCATTGCCTTTTGGTCCATCTAAACCAATTGGTCCCTAAAAATAAAAATTAATTCATAAATTTAAAATATCACATTTCAACAATAAAAAAAACAAAACAACGAATAATTAGAAATTATGACAAAAAAAAAAAAATTTCAATTTTCCGTTATATATTTGATATTTTTAAATAATATTAAGTGATAATAATTTTTATGCTTACCGGAAAACCAGGATATCCACGTGTACCTTTTGGTCCCTAAAATAAATTATTTTAAAATTTTAAAAATAAAAAATGATCAAATAATTGAAATAAGAAATTTTCATACATGCATAAAGCAGAAAAATGATAACAAACAAATGGTACGATACAGGATATCACAAAAAAAAAAAAATTGATAGTTTTAAAAGATATATTATAGCATGCTTAATTAAATTGTTAAATGATAAGTTTGAAATGAAGAGCGATTATCACAAAACAACGAAAATAATGATGATAAAATAAAAATAAAAATATCACCACATCAAGCCTTTTATATAATAGGTTTATCGATCATTTAATTACTTTTAATATCGATATCATTTCTTAGCTTGATTACGAAAGTAATTTTAAAAAAAAAACGAACAAAAAAAAAAACAGTTGAACGATAAAACGAAGGATGAGAAAGTACACAACATACAGGTGGCCCCGGTGGTCCCGTTATACCGCGGAGTTGTATTGCTTGTCCATTAGGTGTGTACAAAAAACCAAATGATCGTAAATGACGACGTAATGATTGCTTCGAATGCTGCAATTTATCAGTGAAAAATATTAACAACATACACACCACCATTTCGACAATTATCACGAATATTTTATACCAAATTAAAATCATTTCACAAATATTTTAATTATCATGCAAGCATTCTTTTTTTTAGTAAAAATGTGTGAAATAAATAAAATGAAATTAATGGAATTCAATTTCTAATTAGGATGAAATTCGAAAATTAAAATAAAGAAAAAAAATATTACAAGCATTATTGAATTAATTGAAATCGATTTACTTAATAATAAAATTGACAAACAATTATCAATTTTAACATGCTTATGATAAAACACACAAACACTTGGAAATATGGTGAAATAGGTAAAAAA